CCTCGTGAGACCACCGTGGGCATCCAGAACTGCACGGCATCGCCTCGGCATCGAACGAATAAGTCTCAGAATCTCGTGTTGCCCAATCGAAGCCCACTCTGCCTGTAGTGCCTGTGCGAGTTGCTGAAGTGTCTGGGGGTTACGGCGTCGCACCCGTCTGTCCAGGGCATCCCACAGATGTTCGATCGGGTTTAAGTCAGGTGATCTTGAGGGCCAGGGGAGCACATTGATGTTGTGGTTCTGGAGGAGGTCTCTAGTGTGACGTGCTGTATGGGGCCTGGCATTGTCCTGTTGAAACAACTCCCTCTGGCGATCAATGATTGGAAGGAGGTTTGGGCGAAGGATTTCGTCACAGTACCGTTGAGCTGTCAGGTTGCCGTGGATCATCACCAAATCACTTCTCCTACGGCAGGTGATCTCTCCCCACATCATAACACTTCCCCGGCCGAATCTGTCCACCTGGGGAACGCAAGCGTTGGCGAAACGTTCACGTCGACGTCTGTCCACCCGCATTCTTCCATCGCGTCGTTCCAATAGAAATCGTGATTCATCACTGAACCAGATTCTACGCCAATTCAGTAGGTTCCAGGCCTGAACGTTGGTGCACCATTGAACTCGATGTCGACGATGTTGTTGTCGAAGCACAGGGCCAAAATAAGGTCTTCTGGCACGTAAACCAGCCTCTCTCAACCTGTTCCTGACGGTCTGTGCAGAAAGCCTCCTCAATCCGGGTATTTGTCGAGCGGTACTGGTCGCCGTAGCTGTTCGATGACGCAGGTGATGTACCCGGATGTAGCGATCCTGCGCCGCAGTGGTCGCTCGAGGTCGCCCACTACGAGGGGCATCTGCTACCGCATTCTGCCGGCGATTTCTCTCCCAGAGCCGTGAAATGGTGCTTTGGTGAACATTCATGCGTCGGGCAACTGCACGTTGAGACTGGCCAGCTTCAAGCAAACCAATGGCGATATGACGGTTGGCTTCACTTAGACGTGGCATTTTGCGTTCGTCAACAATATTCCAAATACAGTGAATAATCGACAGACACCGATCAACCTTTTATACCCATCATTGAGACTATCTGATCCCCAACTTTCACGTGCATTGCATGTGAATTGTGTATTCTGTGACACTACACGCCGAAATTAAAAATCATGCTGTTAAATACGGGTATTTTACGGATGGTGCGTTTTGTTGTGATGTTTCAAAACATAAACACCATAGGACTCATAAACAGAGCAAAACCTTTTTGTAAAATGAATCACGTTTTAATTCATTGCTACATGAAATTGCTATTTTCATGATGCGTTTCTTTTTTTGGAGAGTATATGTACATGTACATTGAAAAGGCTGAACTGTCAAAGCTTTCCTATGAGTTAGCAGATTTGTGGAAGTGCTGTATTTAAGGAAAATAAATGTTAAATATGTAGGTTTACTATGATGATGCTTTAAAATTTAACAATATACTATTTACAAACATATTGCTACAAATGGTATATGTAGACGGGAGTGGATTCATCCAATAGATGACATCCTGACCTTGTCAGCTTGCTGACGGGGTTAACCTCTTTGGACATGTGGAAATAGCGTCTGACTAAGGATCAGAACGTTCGTGGTTCGAATAACAGCACAGGACTCGGAAATGTTATGGCCGCTATGTTGGTGGTAAACACCAGCTTTCAGACAAGTGGGCAGGACATCCCTACATCATTCTGTAAAAGCCTAAATCAAGATGTTCCCGTCTTGGTAGCGAAGAAAGAGAATGGTGAAGGCTGACAGAAGACTTTACAGGAATCCCCTCTTGTCCATTTGTGCTCGGTATAACCTTGAGGAGGTAGGGCCATCACACAAAGCAGAGCCTCCACCATCCAGGGCCTATATTTTCGAAGCTCTCTTAGCGCTAAGATAGTCGTAAGTTAATGTTAACGTATGGCATTTACGACTATCTTAGCGCTAAGAGAGCTTCGAAAATCTAGGCCCTGGCCTCTACCAAGGCCAAGAAAATCTTGATCGCAACTTAAGTCAAATAAGGCACTACCAGTTGATAATATCAGTGAGGAGGTATCACTGTAGAGATCCACAGCTTCTGGTATTCCTACAGATACCAAACAGGATGTTTCAGCAGATATGGATACTGCTACTGAGGCAAGTGGTGACGATCATGAGGCAGGGGTAGCAGTGGAACACGCCTCTGGTGACGACGGTCACATCCCATCCCAGGAGAAACGGAGGTGAATCCTTTTGATGATGACGCGGGGGAAGATGCTGGTGTTACTACTGCAGATCTACACAGAGACTATATCATTCCTGAGAACGAAGAAGCAGGAACAAATAATGATAGCTCTGTCCCAGACACTAATGGAGTTGATGTTGTTCACACAAGGCCAACACATGCTATAGGCAACCCCTTAGTTGGGTGCGTTCAGGACAGTACCATGCACTTAGTCATGTCACAGCAGAACCGGATTGGATGACGGGGGTTCGTTACCTGGAGCATTTAGCCAAGGCTGGAACGCCAGAACAGACTGCACCGGACATCACAAAATCATTTATCAATATTCTCACCTGCCAGGACACAGAACGACGGAGACGTCATTTTCCTGGGGACCGAAGAATGTAGGTGCATAGAGCTCAGGTCACAAATCAGTTGAAGTTAAGCAACGTTGGGCACGGAGAGTCGGAGAGGATGGTCAGGGACGGAACCAAGATTGTGCTTTGCACATAAATCAGGAAGTCAAAAGGTAAATGCTCCTCAGGGAAAAACATTTTCGGGGGAGAGGGGTGTGGTGGGGTTGGGGGGCTCCTCTGGATCCGCCCCTGATAGGTGACCATGTTCGGCAGCTTGACTCCTGAGAGTTTCTAGGACTTCAGTCCTGTCCCACAACGAAGCACATGTGATGCACGTGGTCTCACCTAAGGCAAGTGAGTTTGTTCAAAATTGCCTCTGTTCACCCAGGAGAAAATGGGTACCCGGTGGGATAAGCCATGTGACTATTAACCTTCTAGCGCCTCACAGGCAGCTTGGAAATTGGGTTATCCGGGGTAATAATGTGCTGTGCTTTGATTGTTAGCGCTGTGAGCATTCACCTAGTGAATGGAGTTTAACGCATCATAAATGCACTTATTATTATATTATTGTTATATTTTCATCCTTGTGGGTCAGCTTACATTTCCGCTTCAGTTTGTCTGGCCATTCGCTCACTACAGTTTATAAGAGGTTAGTTTGTATTTGTATGCATTATTTCTTAGCTTTTTTATAACATGTATCATGTCACGTATTGCGGATATAATCCAAATTAACTGTCTGATATACAAGTATGCAGCATGATATGTTTGCGCCAATACTTTCCATATGTCAGTTTATTACAGTTAATCAGAAATAGCATTCGCGTGAGGGTGTTATCTAACCTATTGTGTTGGTAAGGATAATGTGTACATATATTTGAGACATCTACATCTATAACTAATGCACCCATCCTTGTATGAATGAATGAATGTATGCATGTATGTATGAAAGTATGCATGATAGGATGGTATTATGCAGATGTAGAACGTTACATAGTATTGATTTCGCATATGTTTATGCGCAGGTGTGGCAAACCTATTTCCTGACGTTTAGGACGTCAAAGTGCACAGTGCCATACACTCATTGAGGGTCTTTTATATTTTGTTTTAAATAATTATGTTCTGTACTCAAAGGTTAAGCTTATCTTTAATTATACTACCCTACACCATGGGACCACGGCACAATACCCAGCATGACTAAAGATGGCTGACTTGACATAGCGGTCGCCGCCACGTTGACAACGTTTTCTGCCATCTGTGAATGGGAGGCAAAACCTTGATCCGTCTGTAGACATGGTGTAACGCCTTTGACGCACAGCCCGTCCCCGGTGTTGCCTAGCCCACCCGAATCTTTACCTCCTACAGTAAGCACTTTGGGTGCTGGCGACTAGGTGCCTGACTCTGAGGGTGTGGGTTCGAATCCCGGATTGGACTCAACCCAACAAAAGTAATAAAATCTGTACTTTACTAAGAAACTGTAATCCCAAATATAACATATGTTACAGTTGACCACTTTGTAAATGCCATTCTGTATTCTACAGTAAGCATTCTACAGTTATGTTCTGACGCCTTTCAGGCAGGTTACACCGAGTTACACCGAGTTACACCGAGTCGTCGGTTTTTAACGTTTCATGTTGGAATTCACCATCACTGGTTTTGTACAAACTTCACTACAGGAACAGTGAGTGAATGAGTTAGGTTTTACACCGCTTTTAGCAATATTCCAGCAATATCACGGCGGGGGATACCAGAAATGGGCTTCACACAATGTACCCATGTGGGGAATCGAACCCGGGCCTTCGACGTGACGAGCGAACGCTTTAACCACTGGGCTACCACACCGCCCCTACAGGACTAGAATCTGTTGCGTAGTGCAATTAATGTAATGGATGGTCTTGCATATGTGTCTTTTTTTAGGCCTAGAGCCCAGGTGTCATTGAACCCATCCGTCTGACGAGAAACCCGCATCCGATCACAGGTTTTCAGACGTCTTATGTTTTCCGACGGCAGTGCTCACAAGAGCTGTACATAACGAGGGGAGTTGCGTCACACAAATATTTATTGTATACTATTGAATGATGGCTTGTATTAAGGATAAAGTTATCTTTGATAAGTTAGTGACATGACTTACAATATTGTTCATGCGTTAATCGTGACTACAAGTGTAAGTGTCCGAAAACCCGTAGCACGAGGACACACTGAATTTTGCAACTTGGTATATATTGTCGGTTCATGCATGAAGTGGAATTTCATCGTGAATAAATGTTACGTTCAGATGCAACGCCACGGCATTGTAAGTGTACATGTACTCGAACGAGCTACATTCGATCATGACTTCCCACTTCTGTCGATAGTATGTACACGTATGAAAGTAACGGTGTTAAACTCGGCACACTGCGTTGCCAGGATAAGTACTCTGTAAAGAGCCGTTAGCTGACTCAGGTCTCCTTCCTTATCTTGGGCTAGCCTACATGGCCGAAGTGTCAACATGGCAGGAATGGCCGGTGTACAAGTTTTAGTGCTTCTCTTAGCAGCAATCTCGTGTGTGGATGCGTTCATTGAAGGAATCTACTGTGGCAGGGAAAACTGCTATGACAGTAAGTTAATATCACCAAAGCTTTAGTCTAGCTTCATTCAAATGAATCTGAACGTGTACTTGTGTTGGCCAGTAACGACATAGTTTTCGCGCACTTGCGGAATCGATGTGGTTCATACATCGGTTACGTCCAATGATTTTGTGTGTCAATTTGTAATCTAGGAATCACTATCTGGTGCAGATCACTGCCCAAATCTTTCGCCAACCTGCCTTAATTGAAATTCCTAATAGATTCCTTGAATTGTTCTAAATAGTATCATGTGAACATGGCACCGGTACTAGGCAGATTTCAGGACATGGAGTGTTATTCACTTAGATGTATGATCGTATTTTTCAACTTAATATATCAACTCGAACAGTTGCATCACCATGATCACTATATACTGCATCATACTCTTTAATGGGAGCAATTTCTATCGCCTTGCCATGCTTACTGAATTGACACTTTGGCAACACCCTGGAACATGGTAGCTGTGTCTAACGTGCAGTGTAATACTCCACAAACACTTCAGAACAGAAAGTTTATTTGACCACCAGTGAGAACACATTAAACATGCTTTGTGTTGTCCATTTTACTTAGTGAATAACTATTCTCTGCAGAGAACCAAGGAATATGTCCTGAGCCTTTATTCTCTGTACACTTTACATAGACACTGAAATCGTTACCATGGTATCTGTGCGAACCCTATTTTAATTGTATTTTGATGCCACCATTCGGCTTTAAAACACCACCTGCTAAATTGTTTGGAATTTTATGTTCCTGTTTCACTCATTTAATTTAGCACATCTTCTCAACATGCTCAAACAGCAATACCAATGTTCACTGTCATTAAAGAACGTTCCTTTCAGCCGTTCTAAAACATTTTCATGAGTACTGAAATAGAAATGATAAGTTAATATGTTTGAGTCTGCTAGTTTGGGTGTCCATTTGTAAATCTGGTGTAAAATCATTTGGAATGTACCCCTTGGAGTTATAAATAAAATGGAATAGTTTTGGGGTCATCTCTGATATATACTGCCCATCAAAAGTTTAGACTCACTTAATTAAAGCACTCACTGTATGTTATGTATATATATGTATGGCTACATTGAAGATGAATTTCTCCACTAACTTGTGGGAACCAAATGCAAACTTTATGCAGATGAATTGCACGAGGATCATGCATCAAATTGCTGAAAAGCATGTGCAAGTATCATGCATGTGAATAGCTCCGCTTTGGTGTAAAGTTTTATGAAGAATTCACCAATTTTCACTGAGTTTCATCATTTATGGAACTCATGACAATAATCTTTTTAACGTTACAAATTTGTTTTACAATACATCGGTTCGTGTATAAACAGTACCTTTAAACAGTATGGAATATTTTGCAAAATCTAGTTTTGAACAGTTGACTGAAGTAAGTGGCTACATTTACACTAGTGTGTCTAAACGTTTGATGGGTAGTATATTTGGGGGTGTTTTATAGATACTGTTCCTGTGGCAGTTTAGTAGAGGCAACCATCTGCTCATCTAACTGCACTAATCAGTATTCCAAACCAGTGGCTTAAACATGGAGTGTGTTCTCATAAGTTTAGTTTAAAAAAACCTTGGTATTTGCATATGTTATAACATATTATAGCATTATTTGGGAAATGTAGGCGTGGTATGAATGATAGTTTGCTGCAGAAACATTGTATGAAATGAGTGAGTGTGAGCACTCTGAGGACTTGCACTAAGGGAACAGGCGATGTCACTTGTCCATCTCAGTCATGCTTTTTGGGGAAAATTGCAAAACAACAATAAACAGGATCATAAACATGGGAAACATGAGAGATGACAGGGGATAGTTTAACATGAGAGATGACAGGGGATAGTTTAACATGAGAGATGACAGGGGATAGTTTAACATGAGAGATGACAGGGGATAGTTTAACATGAGAGATGACAGGGGATAGTTTAACATGAGAGATGACAGGGGATAGTTTAACATGAGAGATGACAGGGGATAGTTTAACATGAGAGATGACAGGGGATAGTTTAAGGAAACATGAGAGATGACAGGGGATAGTTTAAGGAAACGAGAGATGACAGGGGATAGTTTAAGGAAACATGAGAGATGACAGGGGATAGTTTAAGGAAACATGAGAGATGACAGGGGATAGTTTAAGGAAACATGAGAGATGACAGGGGATAGTTTAAGCGATGACAATTGAACTAGTGATTGTCTTCAGCATCATATTTCTAATAACCATGGAAACTGGTTATTTGAAGATAAATAAATGTAGTGTCCTGGTGAGGAGTTATGACAAACACATCTGCAGAAACAATTTGATGTCAGTAGAGTTTGCTTCTGTCCATCTAGTATACCTTTACAAATACAACTGTTGAATGAAACATACTACTACTTATATTTACAGTCTTCAAACTCTTTAGTCATAACAAAAGACCATTTCTCTCCAGACATTGACACTTGTCTCATTTCTTATTTCTGGTCCTTATTTCACATAACTGATGATTATTTTACAAAACCGTTCACACAATGGGTGACTGTCCAAGGGTACTTGGGAAAAGCATTGTGAAGGGTTGACACAGTGCGTCTTGGCTATACGTACTTCAGACACATATAGAGGAGAGAAATAACAGCAGGATAACACTATTAGCAGATAGCTATATAGGTTATATTTGTCTGTTATTTGCACAGATTGAGTCATTATATATGACAATAATACCTCACATGGAAACAATTAATTCTTCTAATATTAAACAGAGGATATCTGGTGACACTTTGTCAAGTTTATGTGGTTGACAAACTAGCTAGGTTTTGTAGGTAGAATTAATGACATGTGTAACTCAGTGTATTTCTCTTATGTTGGGCATAATGTTGTCTGTGTTACTCCATTTAGTAGGAAAACAGGTCATTGCTAAGTCAGTTTAAAATGCATAATGTTGATTATATTTATAGTTACATAGCTATTTATGCTAAGTCAAATTAATTCTTGTGATTAGGTTATTTTGCAATTAACCAACCAAAATAGTATTACTGAAGCTACATTGCTTGCAAAAATATGTCTATCTTGTTAACAACTGGTCAAATATGTATCCACATATATATCCCTTTTCATGCAGTATCTGTAGGTGATAGTCATTTATGTGTCAATAAAACATAATCATCTTAGCTTTCATGGAAACATTTTATCTTCATCAGGAATGCCCATCAACAAAATGTTTAATGAAACTATATCTGTATGAAATATCAATGAAAATAGTATCAGATTTTATTTTTGAAGAAGTGTCCTGGTAATTGTAATATTTGCGTGGTCGTGGATGTTTCAAGATGCTATTATTGCTGGTAATAGGCTATTGATTCCATTGTGTGTTCAAGTGCCATATGGCTGCTACACAATGAGGCCCCAGTCAGGCCCCCTCAGCTGGCACCCTTTCCCACACACCTAACAAGCTGCTCACTTTAATTGACTTCTCACTCCATAGCAGGGAATACTGAAGACTGAAATGCTGTATTAATATATGTTGATGTTTGACTTTGGCAATTATATAGATTCTTATAGATTGTGTTTAACATGGTGGGTTTGATGAGGTTCATTGTTATAAGTTCTATTTTACCTGTGCTACTCTGGATATTTAGGTGTAATCAATAACTGTATGCGTACATGTAATTACATTCATTTGCTGTAAGTTATAATACCTGACCAGCGTATGTGTAAATGTTGGTCATATTGCTGAAATGTTGCTGATAAGCACATAGGTGAAGAATTGTGTGAAGTACATTTCTGGTGTCTCCTGCTGTGATATTGCTGGAGGTTTGCGAAGTGTGGTGTAACAGCAAGCTTGACTGTGTATCATACAAGGTCTGCAAGTGATACTCAGAGACATGTCAGCTATCAGTATCTATTGAACCATATGTGCTGAGGTTTGCTGACAAATTGGATGTGAAAAATGTGTCGCTTACAAAATATTTTATCACATAAACACCACAGCTGACGCACTGATCAGATTAGCAGATTTATCAGCCTCACTGTATAACTATGAGTAAATATGGTAATGAAGAACTAATAGTGAGTGTCCCAGACAGTGATAACATTTCCAGACACTGCTACCAGATCTAAACCTCCAGCCTCCCTCCAAGGTTGTAACCTGGCTTGGCCTGATGGTGGCTTCAGTCCATATATATTACAACACAAACTTACTGTATAATATTCAAGATAGACTAATGCTTAGTCTCTGAATATATATAATTTTAATAGTAACAAACAAGCCCATTTAAATTGAAAAGGAGCCCAAGGCAGACCCTGAGGAAATCTAGACTTGCTTCGTTTAGGGCTTTAGCGCTGCAGAGAGGGCTTGGCAGTAGGGAACATAATGTGGTTCAGGGACTGTGAGACAGACTATATTGAAGAAAAAAGCTCGTCCATGCAAGACAAAAGCCTGTTCATATGAAGAGAAAAGCCCTGCTATGCTTAGATGAAAACCCCTTTAGGTGTATATTAAGACAAAAGCCCTTTCTTAGTTAGTCATAGTAACCTCCCTCCCAAATACATAGACAATGCAATGAAGTGTTTCCTTTCAAGGTACATGAATGCAAGCAAGATACTTGTTATTTCCTGTTTTGTGGATAGTGTCTGAAACATCAAGTTGTTGATAGATGTTGTGTCAGATGTTTCTTTCAGTTGTCACATAAAAGTCTCTCTTCATGTTGGTTGACAATGTGAACCAGGGAAATCGTTAGGCCGTTCCCTCACCAGTGTTTCCACATTCTCATCCCTTACATCTCTGATGTCAACCTGTTCACATTTCCTTGTAAGAATATATCAGTCGGTCTGGTTCCTGATGGAGTGGGCTGCATCTGTCACCATGCTGATATAATGTTCTTGGTTGAGTTTATGAATTATGTAGATGCCACATAAGTGACTTTAAGTTGTCATGGTTACCTATACCATGTGTAGTGTTTTGTTGATTATGTTGTGAGGAATAGCCTTACTGTTGATATATTTACCATCATAAGTAAGTATCTGTTGATATTATCTGTTTTGGGATGATACATTGACATTATATTTCACATGAAATTATATTTTAAACCTTTTTAAGATGGATGAGTGTTTGTGATACACTCTGATGGGTTGAAATATTAGATCTGAAGCCCAAACATCTCCTGTAAAGTTTTGTTTTCTTGATATGTATAATTCTTTTCTCAATCTTAAATTTGAAATGCATGATATTTGTCAAAAGATACCACTTTAATCAAATATTTATTTTTATGAATATTTATAAGAACATGTCCAGTTCAGTTTTATGTCACTTCTAAAGCATTCTGTCATTGTAAAATGTTTGCAATACAACCGCAGTTGACATTGTGTATATACTTTCACTGAACTGATTGATTTATCTTGACATCGCCATTTAGCAATATTGACATATCTTACATGCAATTGCAACCAGGAAATTAATGCGGAAATTGCATGTGTCCTTTGCTCACATTGATAAAGTGACATATTGAAGTATATTGGACTTAGCCAGAAACAATACCATTTTAAACAAAGGTCACAATAAGCAATGGAATTAAGAGCTAGATTAAGTATTGCATGTAACAGACTTTGCTGTGGCCTGCTCTATCTCATTGGAATATACATTATTGGAATTTCCTGCCATTGATTTCATCATGTGTTCATGGAAGATGGAAATATTATTCAGCTGAATTGCTGTCACCTCATGCTATAATAATGAACTCCGAGGTCTGCAGTGCGAGTGTTTGCAGGTTTGGTTCTATACTAAAGGCTACACACACTGGTGTAATGATTTACATTGTTGTACAGTATGCCATGGCCGCAGCATTAACATTAGAAATTTGTCTGCTCAAGGCATCAAGTTTAAAGAAATAATGTCTGACTTAATGAGAAAAAGACTATGTGAAGCATGTGAATTATACATGGTATGTGCTTGTGGTGTGCTAAAAGCTCATTAAAGAATGCCGGTGTCTGCCAGTGTGTGGTGATTGACAGGATGGTGAGTTGTGTTCAGAACGACAGTATGGTGAGTTGTGTTCAGATTGACTGGATGGTGAGTTGTGTTCAGATTGACAGGATGGTGAGTTGTGTTCGGATTGACAGGATAGTGAGTTGTTCCGATTAACAAGATAGTGAGTTGTGTTCCCATTGACAGTAAGGTGAGTTGTATTCAGATTGACTGGATGGTGAGTTGTATTCAGATTGACTGGATGGTGAGTTGTATTCAGATTGACAGTATGGTGAGTTGTGTTCAGATTGACAGGTTAGTGGGTTGTGTTCAGATTGACTGCATGGTGAGTTGTGTTGAGATTGACAGGATGGTGGGTTGTGTTCAGATTGACAGTAAGGTGAGTTGTATTCAGATTGACTGGATGGTGAGTTGTATTCAGATTGACTGGATATTGAGTTGTGTTGAGATTGACTGGATGGTGAGTTGTGTTGAGATTGACAGGATAGTGAGTAGTGTTCAGATTGACAGGATAGTGAGTTGTGTTTCGATTGACAGGATAGTGAGTTGTTCCTATTAACAAGATAGTGAGTTGTGTTCCCATTGACAGTAAGGTGAGTTGTATTAAGATTGACAGTATGGTGAGTTGTATTCAGATTGACTGGATGGTGAGTTGTGTTCAGATTGACTGGATAGTGAGTTGTATTCAGATTGACAGGATAGTGAGTTGTTCCGATTAACAAGATAGTGAGTTGTGTTCCCATTGACAGTAAGGTGAGTTGTATTCAGATTGACTGGATGGTTAGTTGTATTCAGATTGACTGGATGGTGAGTTGTATTCAGATTGACAGGATGGTGAGTTGTATTCAGATTGACAGGATGTTGAGTTGTGTTTCGATTGACAGGATAGTGAGTTGTGTACCGATTAACAAGATAGTGAGTGAGTTGTGTTCCCATTGATAGTAAGGTGAGTTGTATTCAGATTGACTGGATGGTGAGTTGTATTCAGATTGACAGGATAGTGAGTTGTGTTCAGATTGACAGGATGGTGAGTTGTATTCAGATTGACAGGATGGTGAGTTGTATTCAGATTGACAGGATGTTGAGTTGTGTTTCGATTGACAGGATAGTGAGTTGTGTACTGATTAACAAGATAGTGAGTGAGTTGTGTTCCCATTGATAGTAAGGTGAGTTGTATTCAGATTGACTGGATGGTGAGTTGTATTCAGATTGACAGGATAGTGAGTTGTGTTCAGATTGACAGGACAGTGAGTTGTTCCGATTAACAAGATAGTGAGTTGTGTTCCCATTGACAGTAAGGTGAGTTGTATTCAGATTGACTGGATGGTTAGTTGTATTCAGATTGACTGGATGGTGAGTTGTATTCAGATTGACAGTATGGTGAGTTGTATTCAGATTGACAGGATGTTGAGTTGTGTTTCGATTGACAGGATAGTGAGTTGTGTACCGATTAACAAGATAGTGAGTGAGTTGTGTTCCCATTGATAGTAAGGTGAGTTGTATTCAGATTGACTGGATGGTGAGTTGTATTCAGATTGACAGGATAGTGAGTTGTGTTCAGATTGACAGTATGGTGAGTTGTGTTCAGATTGTCTGGATGGTGAGTTGTGTTCAGCTTGACAGTGTAGTGAGTTGTGTTGAGATTGACAGGATAGTGAGTTGTGTTCAGCTTGACAGCATAGTGAGTTGTGTTCAGCTTGACAGTATGGTGAGTTGTGTTCAGATTGACAGGAATCGGGTTTGATGTGTTCAGCATGATAGAAGTAAGATGTGTTCAGAGTGACTGGAATGTTGTCTGTGCAGAATGACTGAAAATGGCAGGAATTGATGATTACGCTGAAATGGAATATGTATATTTTTATTAACATTTAATTAGGGAACAGTCGGATTTGCTCATTTGACCAGGATGGACAGAGGCATTAGACATGTCTGTTCCTGCAGGGCAGAAAGTACATCAGGAACCTCTTTACTGGAGCTAGGTACTCTTCAACTCAGTTCGTACAGAGCATTGTTGATGATGTTCTAATAAAATGTGTTCATAGTTTCTGGTTTCAAATTTCTATTCATGGCTGCCATTATTTTGTTTCAGTTCTTGACGTCACAAGGGACTCAAGCAAGGTTTGCGTTTAATCTCATATTTAGTTTGAGTTGATGTCTTAATCAGAGCACAAGCACCATTGTGTAGTAGTTGAAGCGACCTACATATATGCTTTTTTAACGATTCAGTCAAACCGAAAAATGAACTTGACATACCTTTTCCATTTGGAGTGCTTCACCCTCAGATTCCAACTCATTCAGCCTTGTTAATGGGGCCATGATGAGTAATTAGTTGAGAGGTAAACGGTAATTCTGCTGACAATGCATCTGAAGCTCTGGAAGCTGACCTTGAGAAAACGGTAACTTTGACACCGGAAGTTTAATAATGATGTGTAATGAAGGAAGAAAGTTTACTTTGATACCAACCATAAGTTCAAGCCTTCTAAGTTTTGATTACAGTATTTGACTGTAGATGTTTTATTCTCATGATTCACCCTCTAATCGTCACCATTACGTCAAGTAGAGGTCCTCATGTAAAAACATTGTTTCTATAGAATGGTTCAGATTTTTCTGGCATGGATGCTTTTTATGTATAAATATAGTTAAAAGTCCATAGTTTGTAAAGGTACCAATCTTAGTTTCAGTGATTTCTGTTTTAGAATGACGTCGTCAAGGCTTATCGCAAGATGGCCCGGAAATGGCATCCGGATATGCACAAGGGGAAGGTAAGAATTTCAAAAGGACCAACAGTAGGTCAGGTGTGGACTATAGTCAGGTGTGGAGGGGAAGGTGTGGAGGGGAAGGTGTGGACTACAGTAAGGTGTGGAGGGGAAGGTGTTGACTACAGTCAGGTGTGGAGGGGAAGGTGTGGGCTACAAGCAGGTGTGGACTGCAGTCAGGTGTGGAGGGGAAGGTGTGGACTACAGTCAGGTGTGGACTACAGTCAGGTGTGGACTACAGTCAGGTGTGGAGGTGAAGGTGTGGACTACAGTCAGGTGTGGAGGGGAAGGTGTGGACTACAGTCAGGTGTGGAGGAAGGTGTAGGACTACACAGTCCAGGTGTGGACTACAGTCCAGGGGAAGGTGTGGACTACAGTCAGGTGTGGGGGGAAGGTGTGGACTACAGTCAGGTGTGGAAGGTGTTGACTACAGTCAGGTGTGGGAGGAAGGTGTGGACTACAGTCAGGTGTGTGGAGGAAGGTGTGGACTACAGTCAAGTGTGGAAGAAGCGGACTAGAGTCAGGTGTCCAAGTGTGTGGGAGGAAGTGTGGACAAGTCAGGTACAGAAGTGAGACTACAGTCAGGTGTGGACTACAGTCAAGTGTGGAGGGAAGGTGTGGACTAGGCTACAGTCAGTGAGTCCAAGGAGGGAGAGTGTGGACTACAGTCAGGTGTGGAGGGAAGGTGTGGACTACAGTCAGGTGTGGAGGGGAAGGTGTGGCAGTCAGGTGTGGACTACAGTCAGGGTGTGGACTACACAGTCAGACTGCAGGACAGGTGTGTGGGGAAGGTGTGGACTAGTCAAGTGTAGGTGTGACTACAGTCCAGGTGTGGAGGACAGTGGACTACAGTCCAGGTGTGGTGGGGGAAGGTGTGGACTGCAGTCAGTACAGCCAGGTGTGGAGGAGGAAGGGGTGGAGGTGTGTGGACTACAGTCAGAAGCGTGGAGGGAAGATGTGGACTGCAGTCAGGTGTAAGGCTACAGTCAAGGTGTGGGAGAAGGTGTGGACTACAGTCAGGTGTGAGGAGGTGTGACTGCAGTCCAGGTGTGGATGGGGAGGAAGGACAGTCAGGTGGACTACAGTCAGGTGTGGAGAGGAAGGTGTGGACTACAGTGGTGTGGCAGGTCAGGTGTAGGCTACAGTCAGGTGTGGAGGGGAAGGTGTGGACTGCAGTCAGGTGTGCAGTCACTGAACTACAGTCAGTTGTAGGAGAGGAAGGGTGTGGACTACAGTCAGGTGTGTGGTGGAGGGGAAGATGTGGACTGCAGTCAGGTGTGGGCTACAGTCAGGTGTGGAGGAAAGGACTACAGTCAGGTGTACAGATGGGAAGGTGTGGAGGCTACAGTCAGGTGGTGGAGGAGAGGAAGGTGTGGACTACAGTCAGGTGTGGATGGGAAGGGTACAGGTGCTAAGGGAGGGTGTGGACTACAGTCAGGTGTGGAGAGGGAAGGTGTGGACTACAGTCAAGGTGTGTGGAGGGAAGGTGTGGACTACAGTCAAGTGTGGAGGGAGAGGTGGACTACAGTCAGGTGGTGGAGCTTCCTACAGTCAGGTGTGGAGGGAAGGTGTGGACTACAGTCAAGTTGTGGAGGGAGGAAGAATGTGGACTGCAGTCAGGTGTGGACTACAGCCAGGTGTGAAAGGGGAAGGTGTGGACTAGTCAAGTGTGGGGGGAAGGTGTGGACTGCAGTCAGGCGTGGAGAGTGGAAGATGTGGACTGCAGTCAGGTGTGAGCTACAGTCAGGTGTGGGAGGAAGATGTGGACTACAGTCAGGTGTGGGAGATGGAGTCCAGGTGTGTGGGAGAGGTGTGGACTAGTCAGGCAGTGGTGAGGGAAGGTGTGGACTGCAGTCAGGTGTGGAGGGAAGGTGTGGACTGCAGTCCAGGTGTAGATGGGAAGGTGTGGACTGCAGTCAGGAAGTGGGAAGGTGTGGGCTACAGTCCAGAGTGTAGAGAAGGAAGGTGTGGACTACAGTCAGGTGTGGAGGGGAAGGTTGGAGCAAAGGTCATGAATGACATGTGAAAAGGAAAAGGTGATGCAACTTTTCAAAGACAACAATAATTGTCAATCTTTATTGAATGACTAGGGAATACCATATATGTATTACACTTATTACTAATACCCTAGCTTATGCAACATTAACTTTTTGTTTCAGGAGGCGAAGGAGAAAGCCGCAGAAATGTTTCAGAAGATAGCCAATGCTTATGAGGTTTGATATTTGTTATTCTTTTAGTCAAATATATTTCAATTTCTATATCCTTGTTTATCTACCTTGTTCATAAACTTTGATAATGTTCACCTGAGTCAAGTATTTCCAACACATTGGTGCCGAATGTACACCACTAAGGTTTTCTTGTGTGTTTCAGATTCTGAAAGATGAAGAACAGAGAGCGGACTATGATTACATGTTGGACAATCCAGGTGAGCCACTGTCTTTCAGGACTGCCAACTACTGGCATAACACTCACTACAGTGATGTGATCAACCCAGCTGTTGTATGTTTGCAGATGAGTACTACTCCATCTACTTCAACTACTACAGGACGAGGATGGCTCCCAAGGTGGATATCCGCATCGTCATTGGTGTCACCATCACTGTTGTATCTGTCATTCAGGTAAGATCATTGCAGTCTGTGTCATCGTCACTGTTATATCTGTCATTCAGGTAAGATCATTGCAGTCTGTGTGTCATTCAGGTAAGATCATTGCATATTATATCTGTCATTCAGGTAAGATCATTGCAGTCTGTGTCATCGTCACTGTTATATCTGTCATTCAGGTAAGATCATTGCAGTCTGTGTCATCGTCACTGTTATATCTGTCATTCAGGTAAGATCATTGCAGTCTGTGTCATCGTCACTGTTATATCTGTCATTCAGGTAAGATCATTGCAGTCTGTGTCATCGTCACTGTTATATCTGTCATTCAGGTAAGATCATTGCAGTCTGTGTCATCATCACTGTTATATCTGTCATTCAGGTAAGATCATTGCAGTCTGTGTCATCGTCACTGTTATATCTGTCATACAGGTAAGATCATTGCAGTCTGTGTCATTACAGTCTGTGTTATATCTGTCACTGTTATATCTGTCACAGGTGTCATAAAATTAAAAGATCATTGCAGTCTGTGTCATGCGTCACTGTTATATCTGTCATTCAGGTAAGATCAGCCTGTGCAGTCTGTGTTGTCAGGGCTTAGCGGTTGCCTTTGTGCGCTGGCGATTTGGTGCCTGATTCTGAGGGCTGAGGGTTCAAGTCCCGAATGGGACTAACCCCCCAAAAGTACTAAAATTTGTACTTTACTAAGAAAGTGTAATCCCAAATATAACATATGTTGCATTTGACCAATCAGGGGTGGAAATAACTGTAAAATTTCTAGTGTACTCCGGAACAGTGACATATGTAAAATCACTTGCCCTGATAATTTTTCCACTATACCGGACACTTTCTTGTTGATTTTTTAAAATAAACAACATAATTAACATTGGAAAGTCAACTGGACACCGGTACAGTGTGATATACAAATTTGCTTGCCCGACAGAAAAAAACACCTCGACTCGGACGTCGGGCAATGGGTCTAATCATGGTGTGATGATGTTGCAGTATTGGGGGGCCTGGAACAACTACACGACTGCCATCAACTACCTGTGTAAGGAACCCAAGTACCGGAGCAAGGCCATTGATATCGCTAAATCTGAGGGCACACTGAGTGCCAACAACAACAGGAAGAGGAAAGGGAGGAGTAAGGTATGTCACATGGAAATCTTCTATGATGGAAAGTCTTCTATGTCACATGGAAGAAAGTCTTCTTTCTACGATAGAGGAAAGGGAGGAGTAAGGTATGTCACATGGAAAGTCTTCTATGATAAAGGAAAGGGAGGAGTAAGGTATGTCACATGGAAAGTCTTCTTTACGATAGAGGAAAGGGAGGAGTAAGGTATGTCACATGGAAAGTCTTCTATGATAAAGGAAAGGGAGGAGTAAGGTATGTCACATGGAAAGTCTTCTATGATAGAGAGGAAAGGGAGGAAAGGGTCACATGGGAGTAGAGGGAAAGGGAGGGTAAGGTATGTCACATGGAAAGTCTTCTTCTGATAGAGGAAAGGGAGGAGTAAGGTATGTCACATGGAAAGTCTTCTATGATAAAAGGAAAGGGAGGAGTAAGGTATGTCACATGGAAATGTCACTTCTTCTATGATAGAGGAAAGGGAGGAGTAAGGTATGTCACATGGAAAGTCTTCTTTAGGGAAAGGGAGGAGTAAGGATAGAGGAAAGGAGGAGGAAAGGGAAGGTATGTCACATGGAAAGTCTTCTATGATAGAGGAAAGGGAGGAGTAAGGTATGTCACATGGAAAGTCTTCTATATGATAGAGGAAAGGGAGGAGTAAGGTATGTCACATGGAAAGTCTTCTATGATAGAGGAAAGGGAGGAGTAAGGTATGTCACATGGAAAGTCTTCTATGATAGAGGAAAGGGAGGAGTAAGGTATGTCACATGGAAAGTCTTCTTTATGATAGAGGGGAGGAGAGGGAGTAAGGTATGTCACATGGAAAAGTCTTCTATGATAGAGGAAAGAAAGAGGAGTAAGGTATGTCACATGGAAAGTCTTCTATGATAGAGGAAAGGGAGGAGTAAGGTATGTCACATGGAAAGTCTTCTATGATAGAGGAAAGGGAGGAGTAAGGTATGTCACATGGAAAGTCTTCTATGATAGAGGAAAGGGAGGAGTAAGGTATGTCACATGGAAAGTCTTCTTATGATAGAGGAAAGGGAGGAGTAAGGTATGTCACATGGAAAGTCTTCTATGATAGAGGAAAGGGAGGAGTAAGGTATGTCACATGGAAAGTCTTCTATGATAGAGGAAAGGGAGGAGTAAGGTATGTCACATGGAAAGTCTTCTATGATAAGGGAGGAGTAAGGTATGTCACATGGAAAGTCTTCTATGAAGGGAGGAGTAAGGTATGTCACATGGAAAGTCTTCTATGATAGAGGAAAGGGAGGAGTAAGGTATGTCACATGGAAAGTCTTCTTTACGATAGATGAAAGTCAGCCACAAGCATTGCTTGGCTCTTGACCCTGTTGAAATGTAGACCAAGCTGCCAGTATTGTAGCTGAAGGAATGGTGGCCTCTGAGGGGAGGCCGACTTACACAAAGTGTCCAGTAACATATGCTTGTCGTAAGAGATGACTGAATGGCCAAACTTGGTGACGTGGCTGGTAGCATGTTATCCCACCCAGAAGGCATGGATCGTTGCTCTGAATATCAATCACTGGACTGCAGCACCTGATTTGTTGTTCCCCGCCACAACGCAGAACGGGGGACTATGTATTCAGCGGCATCAGTACGTCCCGATTGTTGTTAACCCGATATCTCGTGAACTGTTATACCCAATGTCCTCAAATTTGGTGACACCCTACATTGGGGGATTACGCAGACACCAGATGATTTGAGTGACCTTGACTTTATCTTCAAGGTCGCCACAATACTTTGACCACTTTTCAAACTTATTTAAACGCGATATCTCATAAAACATTGCACCCAATGTTTTCAGTTATGGCGACAGCCTACATTGGGGGATTATGCAGACACCAGTCATTTCAGGCATCTTGAATGTGACCCAAAAATAAAAAGTAGTAAATATAGATATCCCATTCATTAGTGGCGGGGGACATTGCCATATCAGTGGAAAACACTTGTTTATATAAAGACTATCGCTATATAGCTGGAATATCACTGACTCCGGCATTAAACAACGAACAAGAGGGACAGATAATCTGTAATTCTGGTAGGTTCCATAGCTATTGTCATTATAAGAATACAAATGAAATATAAGAGATAGGCATTGCCACTGGTCTGTGAGCTTCCTACTATGGGGAGTGTGGAACGAATAGTTGTTTTATACCCAAATCTGGTAATGTTTTTCCTTATCCTGACTCAAGCTATATGCTTATTTCCTGTTTCCTTCGAACGGTACGTGGAAACTTGTTTACATAAACTACTAGTCCTAAACGACCTATGGTAAAGTTTGGTGTGACCAGTGATGTCTGACCCTAATTAAAGTGTATGAAATGATACAGTGATAAGGAAACTTTATTGAAGTCAATCCTTGGATATGATGCCTGTTTGCAACAAACAGTGGATGATGTATTGTTTGCAACAAACAGTGGATGATGTATTGTCATCAAACAGTGGATGATGTATTGTCATCAAACAGTGGATGATGTATTGTTGTCAACAAACAGTGGATGATGTATTGTTGTCAACAGTGGATGATGTATTGTTGTCAACAGTGGATGATGTATTGTTGTCAACAGTGGATGATGTATTGTTTGCAACAAACAGTGGATGATGTATTGTTGTCAACAGTGGATGATGTATTGTTGTCAACAAACAGTGGATGATGTATTGTTGTCAACAAACAGTGGATGATGTATTGTTGTCAACAGTGGATGATGTATTGTCAACAGTGGATGATGTATTGTTGTCAACAGTGGATGATGTATTGTTTGCAACAAACAGTGGATGATGTATTGTTGTCAACAAACAGTGGATGATGTATTGTTGTCAACAAACAGTGGATGATGTATTGTTGTCAACAAACAGCAATGAAATGTGATACTGTTTCAACTGAGCTTTTAGAAGCTAGAATACAAACACACACACACACACACACACACACACACACACACGTGTACGTTAATCTGACTCCCATATTGTTTGTGTTGTTTAAGGAAGAGATCAAGGAGGAAGAGGAGGCCATTATCAGGCAGATTATAGCAGAAAAAATGGATATACGGTTTGTACACCTATCATGTGAACTTTCAATGTTGTATAAGAATCATGAAGAATCCACAATGGAGGAAGGATACAATGTTTCTGAGCTGTAAGAAAAGGATACAATGTTTCTGTGGTATACAGAAGGGGATGCAATGTTTATGAGTTGTAAGAGAAGAATACAATGTTTTTATGCTGTACAGTGGGGTATGCAATGTTTCTTTGTTGTACAGAGGGGGATACAATGTTTCTTTGTTGTACAGAGGGGGATGCAATGTTTCTTTGTTGTACAGAGGGGGGTACAATGTTTCTGAGCTGTAAGAAAAGGATACAATGTTTCTGTGTTGTACAGAGGGGGATACAGTCGACCGAGCTACAGGGACATCTTATGGATACAGCTGGTGTTCCTGCCCTACTACACAGTAACCTACATCATCTGGTATGCCACCTGGATCTGGAAGTTCACAATCCTCAGAAACGAGTACGGGGAAGAGGAAATGTACTACAAGATACGGAAATACATGAAGCTGAGTCAGTCGCAGTGGGATGTAAGTAGCACTTGGTTTAGGAGTGAGTTAGTTGGGTATAATGCACTTTAAACAGTATCCCAGTCAGTCACAGTGGGATGTAAGTACCTGTTGATGTAGGAGTGAGTTAGTTGGTTCTAATGCACTTTAAACAGTATCCCAGTCAGTCACAGTGGGATGTAAGTACCTGTTGATGTAGGAGTGAGTTAGTTGGGTATAATGCACTTTAAACAGTATCCCAGTCAGTCACAGTGGGATGTAAGTACCTGTTGATGTAGGAGTGAGTTAGTTGGTTCTAATGCACTTTAAACAGTATCCCAGTCAGTTACGGTGGGATGTAAGTAGCACTTGGTTTAGGAGTGAGTTAGTTGGTTCTAATGCACTTTAAACAGTATCCCAGTCAGTTACGGTGGGATGTAAGTAGCACTTGGTTTAGGAGTGAGTTAGTTGGTTCTAATGCACTTTAAACAGTATCCCAGTCAGTCACAGTGGGATGTAAGTACCTGTTGATGTAGGAGTGAGTTAGTTGGGTATAATGCACTTTAAACAGTATCCCAGTCAGTTATGGTGGGATGTAAGTAGCACTTGATTTAGGAGTGAGTTAGTTGGTTCTAATGCACTTTAAACAGTATCCCAGTCAGTCACAGTGGGATGTAAGTACCTGTTGATGTAGGAGTGAGTTAGTTGGTTCTAATGCACTTTAAACAGTATCCCAGTCAGTTACGGTGGGATGTAAGTAGCACTTGATTTAGGAGTGAGTTAGTTGGGTATAATGCACTTTAAACAGTATCCCAGTCAGTCACAGTTGGATGTAAGTAGCATTTGATGTAGGAGTGAGTTAGTTGGGTATAATGCACTTTAAACAGTATCCCAGTCAGTTACGATGGGATGTAAGTAGCACTTGATGTAGGAGTGAGTTAGTTGGGTATAATTCACTTTAAACAGTATCCCAGTCTGTCACAGTGTGATGTAAGTAGCACTTGATGTAGGAGTGAGTTAGTTGGGTATAATGCACTTTAAACAGTATCCCAGTCAGTCACAGTTGGATGTAAGTAGCACTTTGATTTAGGAGTGAGTTAGTTGGGTATAATGCACTTTAAACAGTATCCCAGTCAGTCACAGTGGGATGTAAGTAGCACTTGATGTAGGAGTGAGTTAGTTGGGTATAATGCACTTTAAACAGTATCCCAGTCAGTCACAGTGGGATGTAAGTAGCACTTGATTTAGGAGTGAGTTAGTTGGGTATAATGCACTTTAAACAGTATCCCAGTCAGTCACAGTTGGATGTAAGTAGCACTTGATGTAGGAGTGAGTTAGTTGGGTATAATGCACTTTAAACAGTATCCCAGTCAGTCACAGTTGGATGTAAGTAGCACTTGATGTAGGAGTGAGTTAGTTGGGTATAATGCACTTTAAACAGTATCCCAGTCAGTCACAGTGGTATCTAAGTATCTGTTGATTTAGGAGTGAGTTAGTTGGGTATAATTCACTTTTAAACAGTATCCCAGTCAGTCACAGTGGGATGTAAGTAGCACTTGATGTAGGAGTGAGTTAGTTGGGTATAGTGCACTTTAAACAGTATCCCAGTCAGTCACAGTGGGATGTAAGTAGCACTTGATGTAGGAGTGAGTTAGTTGGGTATAATGCACTTTAAACAGTATCCCAGTCAGTCACAGTGGGATGTAAGTACCTGTTGATGTAGGAGTGAGTTAGTTGGTTCTAATGCACTTTAAACAGTATCCCAGTCAGTTACGGTGGGATGTAAGTAGCACTTGATGTAGGAGTGAGTTAGTTGGGTATAATGCACTTTAAACAGTATCCCAGTCAGTCACAGTGGGATGTAAGTAGCACTTGATGTAGGAGTGAGTTAGTTGGGTATAGTGCACTTTAAACAGTATCCCAGTCAGTCACAGTTGGATGTAAGTAGCACTTGATGTAGGAGTGAGTTAGTTGGGTATAGTGCACTTTAAACAGTATCCCAGTCAGTTACGGTGGGGTGTAAGTAGCACTTGATGTAGGAGTGAGTTAGTTGGGTATAATTCACTTTAAACAGTATCCCAGTCTGTCACAGTGGGATGTAAGTAGCACTTGATGTAGGAGTGAGTTAGTTGGGTATAATGCACTTTTAAACAGTATCCCAGTCAGTCACAGTGGGATGTAAGTAGCATTTGATGTAGGGAGGAGTTAGTTGGGTATAATGCACTTTTAAACAGTATCCCAGTCAGTTACGATGGGATGTAAGTAGCACTTGATGTAGGAGTGAGTTAGTTGGGTATAATTCACTTTAAACAGTATCCCAGTCTGTCACAGTGTGATGTAAGTAGCACTTGATGTAGGAGTGAGTTAGTTGGGTATAATGCACTTTAAACAGTATCCCAGTCAGTCACAGTGGGATGTAAGTAGCACTTGATTTAGGAGTGAGTTAGTTGGGTATAATGCACTTTAAACAGTATCCCAGTCAGTCACAGTGGGATGTAAGTAGCACTTGATGTAGGAGTGAGTTAGTTGGGTATAATGCACTTTAAACAGTATCCCAGTCAGTCACAGTTGGATGTAAGTAGCACTTGATTTAGGAGTGAGTTAGTTGGGTATAATGCACTTTAAACAGTATCCCAGTCAGTCACAGTGGGATGTAAGTAGCACTTGATGTAGGAGGAGTTAGTTGGGTATAATGCACTTTAAAACAGTATCCCAGTCAGTCACAGTTGGATGTAAGTAGCACTTGATGTAGGAGTGAGTTAGTTGGGTATAATGCACTTTAAACAGTATCCCAGTCAGTCACAGTGGGATGTAAGTATCTGTTGATTTAGGAGTGAGTTAGTTGGGTATAATTCACTTTAAACAGTATCCCAGTCAGTCACAGTGGGATGTAAGTAGCACTTGATGTAGGAGTGAGTTAGTTGGGTATAGTGCACTTTAAACAGTATCCCAGTCAGTCACAGTGGGATGTAAGTAGCACTTGATGTAGGAGTGAGTTAGTTGGGTATAGTGCACTTTAAACAGTATCCCAGTCAGTCACAGTGGGATGTAAGTACCTGTTGATGTAGGAGTGAGTTAGTTGGTTCTAATGCACTTTTAAACAGTATCCCAGTCAGTTACGGTGGGATGTAAGTAGCACTTGATGTAGGAGTGAGTTAGTTGGGTATAATGCACTTTAAACAGTATCCCAGTCAGTCACAGTGGGATGTAAGTAGCACTTGATGTAGGAGTGAGTTAGTTGGGTATAGTGCACTTTAAACAGTATCCCAGTCAGTCACAGTGGGATGTAAGTAGCATTTGATGTAGGAGTGAGTTAGTTGGGTATAATGCACTTTAAACAGTATCCCAGTCAGTTACGGTGGGATGTAAGTAGCACTTGATGTAGGAGTGAGTTAGTTGGGTATAATTCACTTTAAACAGTATCCCAGTCAGTCACAGTGGGATGTAAGTAGCACTTGATGTAGGAGTGAGTTAGTTGGGTATAATGCACTTTAAACAGTATCCCAGTCAGTCACAGTGGGATGTAAGTACCTGTTGATGTAGGAGTGAGTTAGTTGGGTATAATGCACTTTAAACAGTATCCCAGTCAGTTACGGTGGGATGTAAGTAGCACTTGATGTAGGAGTGAGTTAGTTGGGTATAATTCACTTTAAACAGTATCCCAGTCAGTCACAGTGGGATGTAAGTAGCACTTGATGTAGGAGTGGAGTTAGTTGGGTATAGTGCACTTTTAAACAGTATCCCAGTCAGTCACAGTTGGATGTAAGTAGCACTTGATGTAGGAGTGAGTTAGTTGGGTATAGTGCACTTTAAACAGTATCCCAGTCAGTCACAGTGGGATGTAAGTACTTGTTGATTTAGGAGTGAGTTAGTTGGGTATAATGCACTTTAAACAGTATCCCAGTCAGTCACAGTGGGATGTAAGTACCTGTTGATGTAGGAGTGAGTTAGTTGGGTATAATTCACTTTAAACAGTATCCCAGTCTGTCACAGTGTGATGTAAGTAGCACTTGATGTAGGAGTGAGTTAGTTGGGTATAATGCACTTTAAACAGTATCCCAGTCAGTCACAGTGGGATGTAAGTAGCAATTGATTTAGGAGTGAGTTAGTTGGGTATAATGCACTTTAAACAGTATCCCAGTCAGTCACAGTGGGATGTAAGTATCTGTTGATTTAGGAGTGAGTTAGTTGGGTATAATGCACTTTAAACAGTATCCCAGTCAGTCACAGTTGGATGTAAGTAGCACTTTGATTTAGGAGTGAGTTAGTTGGGTATAATGCACTTTAAACAGTATCCCAGTCAGTCACAGTTGGATGTAAGTAGCACTTGATGTAGGAGTGAGTTAGTTGGGTATAATGCACTTTAAACAGTATCCCAGTCAGTCACAGTTGGATGTAAGTAGCACTTGATGTAGGAGTGAGTTAGTTGGGTATAATGCACTTTTAAACAGTATCCCAGTCAGTCACAGTGGTATGTAAGTATCTGTTGATTTAGGAGTGAGTTAGTTTGGGTATAATTCACTTTAAACAGTATCCCAGTGAGTCACAGTGGGATGTAAGTAGCACTTGATGTAGGAGTGAGTTAGTTGGGTATAGTGCACTTTAAACAGTATCCCAGTCAGTCACAGTGGGATGTAAAGTGTAACTTGATGTAGGAGTGAGTTAGTTGGGTATAGTGCACTTTAAACAGTATCCCAGTCAGTCACAGTGGGATGTAAGTACTTGTTGATTTAGGAGTGAGTTAGTTGGGTATAATTCACTTTAAACAGTATCCCAGTCAGTTACGGTGGGATGTAAGTAGCACTTGATGTAGGAGTGAGTTAGTTGGGTATAATTCACTTTTAAACAGTATCCCAGTCAGTCACAGTGGGATGTAAGTACCTGTTGATGTAGGAGTGAGTTAGTTGGTTCTAATGCACTTTTAAACAGTATCCCAGTCAGTTACGTGTGGGATGTAAAGTAGCACTCTGATGTAGGAGTGAGTTAGTTGGGTATAATGCACTTTAAACAGTATCCCAGTCAGTTACGGTGGGATGTAAGTA